ATATCAATATTTAGCCCAAGTTTTGACTAACAAGTTAAGCTGTATATTCTTTATATTGAATTTATATATTATGATGGAAAGAAATATTAAACATGAATTTTCGGAAAGTGGCTTCTACTCGACATTTATCAAAGTGGGTCTTCTAATGCTTCGTAAATTATTACTTCAGAATAAATATATCAAGTTCACGGTTGAGATTAAAGTCATGCAAAATACCAATTTCGATTTTGAGAACCAAACAACTTTCATCCCAATTGAATACAAAAGTAAGTTATCGTCTGAAATAGCTCCATTGACGATATTGAGATCATAGTGATAAGAAAATCTAGTAAGAGTACGTGAAAAAGATTGTTTTAAAAGGAATATGATCTTAGTCATTCACTATAGTGTGGATATAAGTTTCCTGTTAGCTTTTTATTTACATGTTCAAGGAAAAGAAACTGGTTGTTCAATGTTACTGGCGTCGATTTGTTGATTAGTTCGGTAGAACTTTACGAAAACCCTCCATTTAATTGAAAATAAACGGCATCCCTTAGAAATCAACATCCTTATCAGTCACAAGACTATTATCTAATTCAATAAAGATTCGTTTAAAGATATTCTCTCTGATTCATTTAACTCTGACATGACATCAGTTCACGTTGTTATTTCGTTGTTTTTGTTGATGATGGAATCATAACATCGGAGATACATGTGTGATGTTGAAGACTTGGCGTTTAACATAAAAATACCATATAATTCTAGGTAAAGTGATTTTTTTTACTATTCAATAGTTACATCACTGAAGTTTTCATCTATTTTATATTTTCAAGGTATATAGTAAGAAAACAATTTATTTTATTCAATCCGATCATTTCTTTCTGTTATTAATTTGATAATCAAAGACGATAACATGAAAGTCGATTTTATGAATAACTTTTATGAAATATGTTGCTGCAAGTACCTGACAACCATTTAGGTTTTAGCCATCGTGATCTTGTATGCTGTGTATGCAAATGAGCAATGCAAGAGCAAAACGTATTTAAATAGTCGATGTCGAATCCTCTGGACATCGGTCAAATCGAAAAATTGTACTGGAACAAATGTGTTTAGCTTAAATGAGTCTTGTTTTCGAAGATTAGATTTATTCTAGAAAAGATATAGAGTGTCAACATCGTCTCTAGGAAAGAAAAGAAGAAAACAATGAGAATTGTATTGCTATAAACTAATGAGCAGTTCATAAATAATTATTCACTTATAGTATCTTGAAAACTTCTTTTCCAATTTTTTTCCTTGATTAAATCATCTTTTCTTATCAAAAGATAATGCTTGCAATTTTTCAGAAAACGATAAGTACAGTGGATTCAACGAATATAGTCTTCTCATTATTTTGAATCAAACGTAATCGTATAGTAAAATCAAGAACACAGACTTTCCAGATTCCAGTGACTTTTTTCATTCAATTTCTTCAATAGAATAACTGACATTCATCAGTAATTCAAAAACATTTTCTTGTTTGTTTAGCAACAGCCCATAGATATACCTGCTACCTGGAAGTTATAACTGTTGTACACGATATCATAAAACAAATTGATCAACAGGGTTACGTGATTTCAACACTTAATGCTTATCGTTTTTTGCTAGGTTGGTCAAATTTTTGTTTGTTATTATAGTGCTATTCAACACGGAGTTATATAACGAGGATTACTGTTTCTGTTTGGTCATGCAAGTCTACAAATGAGCAATATAGAGAATGTCAGACGATATTACATAATGCGTCAAGACCAAAAATTGTGTTACTAACTTTCATTTCTTAGACTGACTTCTTTGGAACAACTCTCTTTTATTGATATATTCCTGTTGAAAAATGAAAATATTTTATTCTTTGAAATGTGATTGGATAAATTTATTGCAATATATTCTATCTATTGATTGCCATATTAGTATTTTGAATACAATTTGATATTCTTCTTTTAGTTATACTTACTTACAACAGTACTATGTTCAAATCATATAATAGAATAACCAACTACACTTGAAATATACATTTTTGTAGCAATGGTTCTTCTAGAATAAAAACAGTGATGTTCAACTAAAATATTCATCATCTCCGATATCCTCTCTTTATTTATGATTCAACTACTGACGAACAAGTATCGAGATTGCGTTCGAACTTTTAACTCCATTTATTGGCTATCATTATGTTTTAATAAGACTAAGAAAATCTGAAATGTGTTCATGCTCATCGTTCTTCTCCCCCGATGTATGATCAAATATATGTCTAAATACAATTGGCCTTTTTTTTTGTCATTTCTCTATAGTTCGAAAGACTCCAGATGTTAAATACATTAAAAGTGACGCACTTGGTTCCAAACACTTTCTTTTGTGTACATTTGACCATACCTCGCAAAGGAAGAGTCATGAGTCGTAAGAACATGATATTGTAGGCAACAAATTGTCATAAAACTTTATATTTCATAACATAACATGTATTTATGATTTCGATGATCAATCAAGCAGTAGTATGACTATTTATTGCTTAATCTTGCTTAATTGAATTCTTAAGACCACAAAGACAACAGGAGTATCAAAAGTGGTGAATATATTAATGAAAAGATTTCTTCGATGAAATAAAAGAGGGAGATATGTTTCAATTTCGATTCACATGTATTTGTAGATTAGATAATATTGATTTTGTAAATTTTTGAGAGTGTATATGCAATTCAGTATTTCCAATACATAAGTGAGAAATATCACCCAACTGAGCTAATCAACCATATATATTTAATATTTTGAGCACGTTCAACAAGTTAATATAGTCATGATCAACAGCTTTGATGAACCTCAAAGAAGAATCATCTTATGTTGTTGTACCATAGAAAAAGTTAGATGATCGATGTCATATACTTTCATTGATTTAACTGATGGATGTTGTGCAGATTTCTTGCGTTATAGAACGGTGTAAAAGAAATCTATGATGGAACTCAACAATTTGATCTAATTATAACAGCGAATAATTTATGTTTGACATTGAAATTATTCAATTAGTTAAACAATATTCTAGTCAGGAATATAAATCTACAACATTTAGTTTCGAAAGAAGCTACAGCAATTTTAACATTTCGATAAAAACCAAAGAACGTAAGAAACTTAAAATGAATTGATAGTGATGATGTTCATTTATAACCTTTTTCCTTTGTTTCCAGTCATTTTCTTGGATTAAATGTGCGTTTATTTGGTTTCATTAAAAATGGCTAGTATTTATTTGAGCAATTAAAAAATCAAAGTGAGCAATAATTAAAATGCGAATTAGCAATTATTTGTTGAGCAATAAAAAAATTTTTTTGAGCAATTTTATATTATGAAATGGATAATAATTACTTCATTAAATTGCAGTAATGAATTTATATTTGAGCAAGAAAAAAATCATATGTGAGCAAGAAAAACTTTATATTTTCATAACAAAAAATTATTGTGTGACCAAAGCTTTTTTGGCTTTAGATGGTCTGCTCCTCTTTCTTTTTGTATCAATTGCTACATTTTTTGCCTCTGGTGGAGCTTTGCAATATTGTAGTCTTATAGACATCCCAATGACGTGCTTACAAATGTAGTCTTTCAGGAATGATGGGCAAGTGCAAGTACCATTTTTCCATTCGCCAGCGTTGTTGGCCAAACATACGCACCATATGTTGAAGTAGACGGATTTGTATCATTTGAATTTATTATTGCCCGTTCAATATTTTTATTGCTCATTCAGTATTTTTATTGCTGATTGAATATATTATTGCTCATTTGAATTCTTCACTGCTCAATTTCAATATTGCTCATTTTAATCATTTTATGGCTCAGTTAGATTATTCTACTGCTCAATTAAATATTAGTCATTAAAAATATGTCAGTGAAAAAAGTCATTCATATAAATAAGCCTTAAAATTAGCAAGTACCAGTTTAATGATTATGAATGATTTTATAATAATAGAAATAGTCAAATGTTTGTATGGCTTTATTTTTGATGAACTTGTGTTAAAGAAAAGGGAAAAATTAAACAAATATCATGGGAATTTTATTATTATGGTATTAGGTAAAGAATGATCAAATAGTACAGAAAGATAGAGCATTGTTTTTTCTATCACTTCATATAGAAAGAAAGGTTTCTCAAACTTACTATGTGATATTAAACTGTCACTGTCACTACAATTGGACTGTCCTAAGTATATCTAATTTCGATTCAAGTTCAAATTGAATTGTACAAGTACAAAATAGCATTGTATAATCATTGATGGTTTTCGTACTCATTCAATTCTGCGAAGCATTGCATGTGAAAGAAAAGAAAAGAAAAGAAGATTACATATAACTATCCACATACTCTCTCTTCGTTCATATGTTTTATTCTAATCTTTATTAATTCTTTTAGCAAAAGAAAATAGCTCACTATGATATAATTAGTAAAGATTGACCAGCGATTTGAGCATTTCACAAAAAAAGTCATATACACAAGATGGTCTCTAATCATCAGAAAGAATCACAATAAAACTCGGAATGCTATGGTTTTTATTACTAAATAATAAGTGTACTAGATCAGTTCAATTAACTATGTGGGTGTTGGTATGGGTGTCCGTGTAGGTGTGTTCGCTTCCTGCATATCCAAATCCTTGACCCACACCCACACCCTTGCATCATCTAAATGTATACATCGGTTTTCTAATAAAATATAATCTTGTTGAAGTTGATCATCTTAATTAGAAAGAAACTCAACCAAAAAACAAACAACAATTAAATTTAATCAACAAATCATCTATTGAATTTGTTGATCTTTTTAATAATAATTCTTTATTGTGTTCTTTTAATTGTTCACATTGTTGATCCACATCGATCAATTGTTTAATATATTCAAAATCTTTTGTTAACGAAATTTCTTTTTCTTTTAAGAACGAATTTTCTTTTACTAAATTATTTACATAAGCAACAATTTCTTCTAAGGAAGCTTCATTTGAAAGTGATAATATATATCGTAAGTTTTCTCAGATACGATTAATATCATCAACTGTACCAAGAGACTAAACGAGAAAATAAAAATCGTACTGTACAATAAAAAACAATCGAATAATTGAATAAACCTTTTCAGTTTGTTGTATATCATATTCTTGATTAATCGTAACAGATTGATTTTCAAGTTGATTCGTCAACAATTGTTTTTCAACATCAGCTTGTTCGCATTGTTCTTTCATTGCAAGTAATTCTTGATTAAGTTCATTAACTATATTTATGTAAGATTGACGAATTGATTCCATATTATTTTCTGATTCTATATAACAAAAAACAAAGAAAAATTAATAATTAATCTAACAAACCTAATCGAAGTTGATCATTTGTTTTTTCTAATGCTTGATAACGTTCATTAGAATATTCTCGTTCTTTTTTTATTTCTTCAACAATTTGTTCAGTGACGTAACCAGGGGAGAGGGAGGCAAATGGACAATTGCCCATTTCATTTTAAGATTTACCCATTGTAATTTTTAAAATTAAGGCTTTGCCCATTGAAATTTTAGTTTTTCAGAATTGTTTATTTCTTTGCTGCTACATACAACTATAACGATGTCGATATAAATCGAGATGAAATATGGAAATTATATGATATATGTGCGTTCAAAGACTTAAGGGATGTTAATTTTTATAAATTGTCTCCTATATTTAATCATGTGATGGGAAAAGATCAACTGACGATCTTTTCCATTAAACCAACGACCGCAATAATTATAATTTAATTGGAGTATTTTTTCATCAAAACTCTCGCTATTCCACTTAAATGCGTTGACGTAAAAGATGGCTGCATGCTTAACGGCCTTTCTGAGCATATAAAATCATATCCAACGTCAACGACTGAAGTAATCTAAGACAAACACTGATGCCGTCAGCGGTGACATGACTCTCACAGCTGAAGAATTAAAAATCTGTATCAACTAGATAGAATATGTAAATAAAAAACTGCTTCAACGTGTGAACGAAAGCAGAGTTCCAACCAGTAGTGTCTTTTTCTTGATCGGTACCGGCAACAGTAGAGAGAATCAGACCGAGCATGAGTCATTCTTAATTTGTTTGACCTGATAACAGGAAAATCAAATCCATTAACTACCCATATCTGTCTTCCAATTAATGCAGTGATACGATAAAAGTCATCTTATAGTATTTTTTGCTGTTTATTTCCATAAGTTTTCTTTCACTATAACGTTTGTTGATAACCAGAAAACTTCATAGCACTACAAATACTATATTGGCTTTTCTTATTCATTAATTATTCATCAGATACGGACATCATTCATTAATAGTACATGCAATCTGCTTTCGCATCACATTTTCTTTATTGTCTTTCAAGTTTGTGCGAGACATGTCCTACAAATAATAAGGGAGACACAAGAAAACCTATGATAACCTACAGTTTTGAACAACTATCCAGTTTTAGTATAATTTGAGATAAGAGTGTGTTAATAAAATACACGAAGAATTTTATGATGAATTCTGACTAATGAAGTAGTAAAGTTCATCTTCCTTTACATAAATAGTCTTCGAGATCAATAAAAAGTGTTCGATATACGAAAAAAACACTTATGCTAATTGTTTTGAGAAAAAAAGATGCGAAAATTAGAAAAAACTTTATACCGGCCGGTAAAGAAAAGCTGCATCTACCAGCGTGTATATCGATCGGTAAAGAATTCTTTACCGGACCTGCCGTTCATCGTTACCCGTTAGAACTCTGCTTATTTGTCCTTTTTTTGAAATGCCGGCTGGTCCAGATTAAATGGCGATGTCTTTATTTTCTCTTTTTCGTTTTATTATGTTAATAGTTTCTTCTAACTTTTTACCAAAAGATGCACCACGAAACGCTCTACAAAATGCCATATTTCTGTTCACTATGATAACTTTCATTGTCGGACAAAAGCATAGAAATCTGTTTTGAAAAATTAATACAACGTTCTAGAAGAGTTTTTGGGCGTAATATTTCGAATAACGTACATTTCACGAATTAGTTAATCGGTGATTTGAACGAAACTGATGTTCATAGACAATTGAACAACAAAGCCGCTTCACAGACACCTTCGATCCTACTACTATATAGAATGAATTCGTTGAAATAACAGATTAGCAATCACTAATCCATGAAATGTACGTTATTCGAAATATTACGCCCAAAAGGTCTTTTAGAAAGTTGCATTAATTTTTCAAAACAGTTTTCTAAGCTTTTATCAGATAATGAAAGTTATCATAGTTAATCGAAATATGCCATTTTGTAGAGCGTTTTGCGGCGCATCTTTTGGTAAAAAGTTACAAGAAACTATTGACATAGCAAAGCAAAAAAGAGAAAATAAGACACTGCCATTTAATCTGGGCCACCCGATAAAATATTCAAATATTGGAAAGTCGAAGACTACATTTGTGAACTAGTATTAAAAAAAGCGAGAGAGCTCATCTTAGTTGACAGTAACAAACTTCTTTTCAATAAACGTCGACTTTTGTAATGGTTATAAATTTTAAAAAATGTATAGCTCAATTGACTTTGAATTGCCCATTACTGCCCAATGCTCAAAATAATTTAGGTGGGAAACGGCCCATGACTCAAAAATTCCTGGCTACGTCACTGTATGGTTGTGAAACGAAAACTGCAAACCGAGTTTGACAAGAACAGACCAAATGAAACTTGTATTAGGAGAATATTTCAACGCTTTTGGGAAACTGGTGCAGTGAAAGATAGAGAACGTCCTGGAAGACCATCAGAAATTACAGAAGAAAAAGTCGATGAAGTTCATGATGTATGTGAAAGTGAACTACAATTATGTGTTCGAGCTGTCGGAACGGCCTGCTCCATTCCTCGAACAACAGCTCATCGAATTATGACTGAATATCTTTCTCTAAAGCCGTACAAGGTCCAATTTGTGCAACAAATTTATGAAGAAGATTTACAAGATCGAGTTGACATGTGTCAAACAATGATATCAATGTTATAAGACAATCATGTTCAGGAAAACTTGTTTTTATTCTGACGAAGCTGCATTTTATTTAAATGGGTTGGTCAATAAACATAACATCAGATACTGGTGTGAAAATAATTCACACGTAACTGTCGAAACTGCTATGAATTCTTCCAAACTAAACGTTTGGTGTGCAATGTCGAAAAATCACTAGACTGGACCTTTCTTCTTCAAGAACGATACTGTTAATGGAGAGAATTATTTATCAATGCTACAATCTTTCTTTATTCCAGAAGTAAAACGTCTACGCAAGCTGCGTTCAATAATATTTCAACAAAACGGGGCTCCTCCCCATTTTGCCCGTATCGTACGACAATTTTCGGATAAAAATTTTCGTAACAGGTGGATAGGCAGGGGTGATTCAATTCAGTGGGCTCCTCGTACACCAGACTTAACGCCTCTCAATTTTTTTATGGGGACATGTGAAAAACAACGTCTACAAAACTCCTATCAAAGATATGGCTGAATTGAAAACGAGAATCGAGAAAGAAATTAAATCGATTTCAAAAGCAACTTTATGCAATGCTTTTTCAAATATCGTAAAAAGGATGGATTTATGTATTTCAGTTGATGGTAATCATTTTGAACATTTGTTGTAAACTAAATTATATGAAATAAAACTTTAAAGAACATACTAGTATATTATAAAAAAATCAATTAAATTGCTTTAGTTGTATAAGAGATATTTGAATTAACTTTCCGGCCGGACTTTTGGGATACCCTATATAATAGAAATATACATTTAAAAATCTAATTATTTTGGCGTATGCAGTATGAAATTCTCCGAAATAAATTAGTTGATAACTTCATCCTGCTGATTCACATCGTGATTCGTTCATTTATCTCTGCACTTGAAGGGATGAATGTATCAATCAAAGAACAGACTGACTAATCTTTTAACAAAATATGAAGCTCAGCCACCCGCGTATCTCAATTCTTGCTTTTCAACAAGCAATTAAGTCAAAAATCAAATAAAAATAGAATACTACATTAGTGTGTTTTGACAATGTAGAATTCTTTTTCGACAACGCGTTTCATATTATTTACTAAAATATAAACACTCGTCAAGTGTCTACATTAGAATTGCAAGCACAAACTACAAAAAAAAGTAACGAAACAGAACAGATAAAAACAAAAAGAACAAAATTGACTTGAACTAAATTTTGAAGAGAAAATTAGAAATTTCACCGAGAAATCGAATCGATTTGAAATTTATTTACTGTAAGTTTCTTGTCCAATATTCTAGTTTATGGCCAAGATGTCTGTGTTGTATCCGTCATATTTAAGAAAGATGTAGGTGTAGTTCTGAAGGTGGAATTTTTTTTACACGCACGCTATATGAAAGCTCTTTCAGTATAAGAAAGTAAAACATTTTTTCAGTGAAGAACAACAGCTTTAATGTTGTTATTTATTCATTGTGGAACATCTAGTAAACGAATACCGACTAATCAGTCGTATCGATGTATGCATTATAAATCAAGTACAGCAATAAAGAAAGAAAAAGAGACCGACTGTGCCATCTTTATCTTTTCTCTCTATCTCTATCTCTCTCTCTCCTTCAATTGATGACTTTCATACACATCATTTTTTTCTCCTGCTTTTTTCATCATTGTTTTCAGTTTTCGGAATAAAAAAGCATAAGTAATGCGTTCGGCTGCATTTCATGTCCACCTTGAAAAGTCGACGCATCTTCAGTTTTGAAAAGAGAGATATCTTTTTAATTTATTTTTCTTGAGCGCTTATTAATCTTCAACAATTTGTCTAAAAGAAACTCAGATTCATATGTTCGTAAGCTTTCTCAAATTTTCGCTCTTTATGGGCGATATTTGACTAATTGAACTTTTCGACGTCAAATGCTTGTACCGATGTCGATAGACATTTATAGTCGGCTATTGATTCAAATGATTCATAGACTAGTATTCCTCCATTTTATTTCTGTCGGTGCAAGCAAAAAAAGGAGATCATAAAACAAATCGAATTGGATGACAAGTACCGTTCGTCTAATCCGAAAAAGAGACGAGATCGAATATATTATAAGTTCAATATTCATCGATGTTGTTTTCACTTTCGCCCTATAAAAGTAACGTCTAGTTATAAGAAGTAGAGAAAAAAATTCTTACCTCAACGCTGTCAGTGGCAACTTCTTCGTAGTCTTTCTCTAGTGTTGCCAAATCTTCTCGTGCTTCGCTGAATTCACCTTCTTCCATGCCTTCACCAACGTACCAATGAACAAATGCTCGCTTGGCATACATCAAGTCGAACTTGTGGTCGAGTCGTGCCCAAGCCTCTGCAAAGATAAGCATCAACCGAGTTACATACACGGTCGAAAGGAGACGATGATACAATGACAGAACGAAAAAGATGCGCTCCTCGTGGGGCTCGAACCCACACCTTCTGCTATCCGGGCAGATGTCCTAAGCCAGTTAGACTAGAAGAGACGATGTTATTTTCTTTTTCGTCTTAGATCGTCATTCTATGTGCACGATCTAACAAACCGAAAAGCAAAAAAATTAAGAAGACATACCGACTATGGCTGTCGTACTTGAGAGCATGCATACGGCTCGCTGTATCTTAGCAAGATCGCTACCGGGAATGACAGCTGGTGGTTGACTGTTTATGCCAATTTTGAACGGAGTGGGACACCAGTCAACGAAGCGAATTATCCGCTTTGTCTTGATTGCTGTAATGGCCGAGTTGACGTCTTTCGGGACGACATCCCCACGGTAAAGCAGACAACAAGCCATGTATTTACCTGTAAGTAGGAGATAATCAAATACAAAACAATGCAAGAAAAAAAGAACAGACCAGCTCGGGTATCACATTTCACCATTTGGCTACTAGGCTCGAATGCCGCATTCGTAATTTCGGCTACTGACAACTGCTCATGACAAGCCTTTTCGGCTGAAACGATTGGAGCATCTAAATAAGAGCATGGTAAATAGAATGAACTCTGTGAAAAAGTATGACTCACATGCAACGAGTGGAAAGTGAATCCGAGGATAGGGAACGAGATTCGTCTGAAATTCGGCTAGATCGACATTGAGAGCGCCATTGAACCGGAGAGAGGCAGTAATTGAACTGACTACTTGAGCAAGCAATCGATTTAGATTTGTGTACGTCGGTCTTTCAATGTCTAAGTTTCGGCAGCAAATATCATCTGAAAAGAGTCACAGGTTAAATAAGATAAGAGGCATCTTCGTTTAAGAACTAAATGCAATGTGCTAATGGAGTTTGGTACTTTAGAAAAGCTCGACTTGAAATGATGCACTTTTTTACTGTCAAAAAGAGAAATTAATTGAATCCATTGATCAAACTTGTCAGAACTCTAGCTGACTGCATTCTGCCAGCAATTCTATTCGAAGTTCACTTTAACAACGGTAAAAAAAAATCTCGTCAGCCCTTTTTTACAATGCCATTAGAAAATAAAAACCATCTACGAAATTCTGATCAAGACAATTGCACAAAGAGAAAATAACCTTTGAAATTTTCTTACCATATTTTGACATAATGAATACAATGTTTTGATATTTGGGTCGATTCTACTTTGTTTAGAAATTATTTTCGAATGTTTAATTACAGAATTTGAAACCAATCTTTTTGGACCCCTTTCAAAGTTGAATTTCATTCACATGACTCCGTAATCTATGTCATTTTCTCTCAAAAAAATTGCTGACCAATCTTCAAGTTTTATGTCTACTATCTCCCTTAATGGTAGAAATATTTTCTTGACTGCTTCTATTTACAAAGGGCTTCATTGTCGACCATGAAAGCGCAATCAGAATGCTCGAGCGTTGTGTGCGTTGTCAAAACCGAATTGTAGGGTTCGACGACAGCTGTCGAAATCCGTGGAGCCGGATAAATTGCAAATTCAAGTTTGGACTTCTTTCCGTACTCAAGTGACAGCCGTTCCATCAACAAAGATGTGAAACCAGATCCGGTTCCACCTGAAAGAAAAATATTGTTCAGAAAAAAAAGACTAAAGAAAGAATGAGCACTTACCACCAAATGAATGAAAGATAAGAAAACCTTGAAGTCCGGTACATTGATCAGTCATCTTTCGCATACGGTCGAGAACTAAATCGATGATATCTTTTCCAACTGTGTAATGTCCACGAGCATAATTATTTGCCGCATCTTCCTTTCCAGTAATCATTTGATCTGGATGAAATAATTGTCGATAGGCACCATTTCGAATTTCGCCTAGACAAAACAAAATACTTGTCGTCCTCAAAATGACAAAGAAAATGAGACGTACCAATGACTGTCGGTTCGAGATCGATAAACATAGCTCGAGGAACGTACTGTCCCGTTCTTGTCTCTGTAAAAAAAGTGTTGAATGAGTCATTATCCCCACTTATTATATTGTCGGATGACATCTTTCCATCGGGCTGAATACCATGTTCAAGACAAAATAATTCCCAACATGTATTGCCAATTTGGACTCCAGCTTGACCGATGTGAATTGAGAGACACTCGCGCATTTGTATCTACTTGTTATTTTGTGAGAATGAATGAAATGAAGAAAATATATGATAGAGTCATGCGTTTTGACTCGGCAATCTTGAGCAAAACGAAAAACAAGAACGACACAAATAGAAGAGAAGGATAAAAAGAAACACAAAAAAAGAAGCACTAGAAAAAGAGGAACAAGATAAAAATAAAGAAGAACAGAGAAAAGAAAAAGAAAAGAAATAATGATTGAATAAATCATTCGTATACGCTTAGACAGAGTAGACGATGTTCTGTCCTATCATTAGTTATATTTCTCATGAGACGTGAAAAAAATGTTCCCAATAACTCTCTTCACATAAGGATCAAACACACTAGAAAAAGTGACTTAACTTAAGGTTGATTTAACTAATGTGATTGGTTAATTTAGACTTAAGTCATCTCAAAAAGATGACTTAAGTCTGACTTAACCAATCACATTATTTAATTCAACCTTAAGTTAAGTCAGTTGTCTCTAGTGTGTTCGACCCCTTAGAATGACAAAATAGCCTACAGACAAATCGAGAAAAAAAGATCACATGGCGAATACACTTATGCACTTAGTGACGCTAATTTCAGAAATACTCCGATCACTTTTTCAGAGCGAGTATTTAATATCAAAATGTAGCTTGACACAAGACAAATCATCTCATGTAGTCAGAGTTTCCGGCCTATTTTTTTTCTCGAGAAAATTATTAATTAAGCAGACCAATAGGGAGCAATGAGACACGACAGTCAATAAGAATAGGGTATCATGTTCTTATTGTTATATACATGCACACAATGTTTTCAACAGCAGGTGTACACAGCAGAAGCAAAATATACAGAACATCTCTGTTTTTGATTTACACCCTGATTCACACTTTACTAAAAGAAGTAAAATGTACTGTGTACATCTTGTAAAAAAAAAATTTGGTTCTAGACTAGAATTTAAAAAGTTGTGCAAATATCATCATGGCAATAAGTATACGACAATACATTACGATCTCTTACGTGTAATTTTCTAGCTGAATAATAAAAAATACTATCCTTTATTTCATATCCCTTGCTTAAATTTATATCCCTCGACATAAAAAAGCATTTTGTAATTGCAGTTAATATATTTTTTGTTGTTTGTTATAAAAGACTTCTCATTTTTTTTTTTGTAAAACAAAAAGTTACATCATGAAATACTGTGTATTAATTGATTATTTGTTCATCAAGTGCTAATTTATATTTCTCATAAATTAATAAACATCATTTTTTTTGTTTTCTAGATAGAAAAAAAAAATCGATATTAGTAAATTTTGCTACTACTGGCAAAGTGTACACTTCCAATTTGTGTGCATATCCATAGTGTACGCGTACATTTTGTTTTGGATTTCCATTGGAAGCACTATATGCGCAATCAAGAGTATCTTTTGATACTCATAAATTTCATCCTTTTAGAACGTTTTCGATCACTCAATACCATGTTCTTCGCCATGTTTTCATTTAATTTCTAAAATAAAACGGATAGCAAATCCTTACATAACAACTTTAGAAATAATCATTTTGTTTTTATGTTTCACCTTGTTTGTTTTCCATTTCTTTTTAGAAGCACCTCCGGGGCAATCTAAATCAAAACCATGACGAGGTACACGTTTAAAAAAAACTACGGATCAAAAATGAAGTACAATAAAAACAAGCCATAATTCTTTTCGTTTGTTCTTTTGTTGTAATCGTATTTATTTGTTAATTTTTTTGTTGATCGTAAAATTGATTTCAAAATAAATTTAATGATCGTTAGTATTTACAAATAGACTTCATTTATATAAAAGAAATTGCGAATAGATAAACTCAAATGTAATAAAATGAAAATAAAATGAAAATTCAGTCTATGAAGCTGTCATTTTGTATCGTATTACTATTCCAGGATTAATCCACTCCACTATTCCATGCTGAAGCCATTTCAGGCTATCTTTGTTTCTATTGGCCAGATTCTATCGATTATTTCTTGGTTACAATCACTTTTTTAGAAAAAAGTAAAAGTACAGTTTGATAGAGAATTTTTTTTTCTATCTTCTAATATTAAAGAAAATCTCGACCCATTTAATTTTCGAAGAGGTCACCACGCGTAGTGCATTTGATACAACCTAAACATGATACAATTTGTTTAGAAAAACTTTAGCTGGTTTATTTTGCCATCGGCTAAATGTTGATATTTTGCTAAGTAACAGTCATGAGAATCATGTGCACCACACTTTTCATTCGTTGTTGGTAAAGTAGGTAATAGTTTTAAGTTTTGTAAAAAAAACGAATTGTGCTCTCTTGAGTCAATGTAATTTTATGAATTTTTCGCAAATTTAACTTATCCAGATCATCGACATTAACACTGACATCGATTACAGTATATGCAGAAAACATTGTTGTTTGAAAATATAACAATAGTTTCAATAATATTGAGTGATTCAAAGAA